GTCTATCTGGAGAACAGGAAGAGGAAGTGTGTACAATGATGGACAATTTTAGAAGTGCTCCCGAGCTAAGGGATTTCGCCACACAGGTTCCAGAGACCCTTAACTACAGCAGATATAAGTTTCGTACGTCGGAGAAGGTCTCAGTTGGATTCACGTGACGATGTGGTGAAAGTTAGGGATATGATGGAGAATCAGGGAGAGGTTAGGATAAGGCTAAACAAAGGCGTCGTTCGTCACATTTATTTTATACCTAAGATTAGGCTGCACCGTGTCGCCAGGTTTATTGATGTTTTGTTAGCGGAGGCCACTCATCGGATAAACTGTGGCTGGTACGTGCTTTGGCATGCTGTGCTTGTAGATGACACCGGTTAAGGTAGAAGTTTCTTCTACGCCATGTTGCCGAATAAGAGCGGTGAGGGCTATAGATCTGCTGTGGGAGCCATGAAAGCTATGTGCCCAGTCTTTGCACTATGTAAGATTATAGTAGTTGATCGTAGCTTGGCTCAGTACAACGTGTTTTCATAATACGACTAAGTTTTCCTAGGTGACCCACTGGAGCACGCTGTGTTCCGAAGACTGACAACAATGACATCAGCAAAGTACAAACTGGACGCTAAACGCAGAAGGCAAACCAATCCGGCACCACCGTTGAATGCCAACTGTTGCAGTGTCCGCAAATCTGAGTGGAAAACGGTCGATTTGGACAATGAGCAACAATAGATACAGTGCCAAAAATGCGGGCGCTGAACACAGAGCAGATGCGCTGCTTACAATGGAGAGGAAGCATACGTTTGCCTCAGGACGTGAAAAGCCCAGTGACTGTAAAGGGCTCTTTTAGGGCCACACCAATTTGATTTATTTGTCTTTGAGTTATGAATTCTGTTCAGGGACCAAGTTATTGATATGGATTCCATTTGAGATCGGATTTTGCGGGGGCATTAGTTACTTCGTTGTCGAGCTTATTCCAACGTGGAATGACTTCGTGGGTTGAAACAAATTGGCGGATTAGTCCACGGGCACGCGGTTTGGAGAGTTTTATGCTATACCCAGAATCGTATTTCGGATAGCTTTTGACAGTTATGTGGAAAGTGAAATTCTCAACTATTTAGTCTGGGTACATTTCCCTCCCGAGAACTCGTTCATTTATATTACCCAATTCTTATTTAATTTTTTCTGTTAAATAAATTTCCCTTTAATGTTTTTGGCTTTTGGCTGCAGTTTTGGGGCTTTTGAGCAACAGTGGTCTCCATTTGGGATTTTTTCGCGGCTTGGAGAATGACGATCGATCAAATGACCTTGAACTTTTGAATAAAGCCTCTTTTGGATGCTGCGCGCTTACCGTAGTTTACGTGGGAATTGAAAGTGGGATTGTTGTGCTAAGTGTACGGGTTGGGGATAGGGCCGTAAACCAGCAGTCGGTGTCTGTCGCTCGAGAGGGCAACCAAGAATAGATTTGTGAGTCGTTTACGGAGGGATTTTTACAACTGATACTGGTAGGGGGGGTTGAGTTTAGGGAGGGCAAACTAGATGCTTTCCTAACTTGCTGGTGTACGGGGCTTTCATATTGGGTTCTCGATGTAGAACCTATTTTTCGGTGGGATGAACGACTTCCACCAGAGGACAAATGCGTTCTTTTATTCGGCGGGCGTCCGTGGGTGGAAGGCAAATAAGCGCTGGACTGGAATAAGTGTCCAGGTCTACATTAGTTACAAGAGGTATGAATTGGTTACTGACTGCGTTGACTTCTGGAGTAGGTTTACGTGGTTCCCGAACGGGTGAAGTAGGAAAGATTGGGTTTCCGGGTGTGGGTTTNGTGGGTTTTTTCTCCTCATCCATACGTTGAGTGACTTCATCTAGAAACACAAGCAGATTCGGAAGACACGATTTCCGTTGCACAAAGCAATGTTCTATCGGTTTCAGGAGTCGATTGGTAGTCAGATGTAGGCAAATCTGCCTTCCGATCAGTCGCTCCAGGCACTTACACAGCACTGATGTTAGGCTATCGGGTCTATAGTTTTCTGCTTTGTTTTTTGGTCTAGCCCTGTGCAGTGCTACTACGATAGCTGTACGCCAGCTTTTGAGTAGCGTAGCAGTTTGCACTGATTTCATAAAATGTGCAGTCAGCAGCCCAGCCAGCATCCCGGCCAGAGGCTGAATTATGGCTGGAAGGATTCCATTTGGACCCGCTGATTTGTGCCTGTTGAACGGCTGGAGGTTTCAATGTAGATCTACTTCACAGATAGCAATTTCGGCAACCTCTAACGTATCAGGTGATCTTACTAAATCCAGGTAATTAAAGTTCTATAAACGCTTTTGAAGAACTTAATTAAGGTTGACGCTTTATTGCGGTTACGCTTAGTGATGCTTCCGTCGGGCAAAGCTCTTGCTCCTACACCCTCCGGTGTGCGTGCGTTGGCCTGCACGTACGTAAAGAAGCTTTTTGCGTTCTTTTTACGCCTCTCTCCAAGTTAAACTCAAAGTCTAATTTAGCACGCCTCTAGGGATCTTGACATCAGCTGCTCGCCCGATTGTAGTCACTCCACGCTTTTTGAGTGCCGTAAAGTTTAAACCGATCCTAGTATTGTCGGCGCAGTTTTAGTGCTCTCTCTATCCAGGGTTTCCACTTTATTGGTCTATGCCTGGTTTGTCCTTCCGTCAGTAGCGCGAACCTTTGTGTGAGCCTAGTTAACCTTTAACTAAGTTCCATCTATCATACACGGTGCACCTCGGGTACCAGCTGATGGTATTTGTGGCTTGTACCAGTTCTGTGACCTTTATGCGAACAGAGACGCATAAGAGTAGATCCGTGCGGACGATAGCTAATCGTTAGTCTAAAGCGAATAACTTCGTGGTCGCTTTTGCCCAATAGTTCTTCCATGTTTAGACAAGTTATGTCTGAGAAGTACCTTGTGACAACTAGGTGTAGCAGCGAGGGTCTCTAATGTGCTCGGAATCTTGTTGCTCTTGTTATATGCTCTGTCAGAGCTCATTCTCGTAGAAATTGTAAGAATGCAGCCCCTAGAGATCCCGTAGGTGCACACTCCGTTGACCACGATACCTCCGGAAAATTGAAGTCGCCAGTGATGACAAAACGCTGATATTTCTCCACATTTTTTTTGAAGGACTATAAGCAGCTCCAAAGCTTCTACTGGCGTCGTATTCGGGGCTATATACATGTACGCTACGTCTACTTTCTTCCAATACATCGTCATCTAGCTTGAATATTTGAATTAGCCGACTTCATATACATTTCCCTTTGGTTTAGAGCAGTTTTGATGAGCAGCAGTACTTCACCCTCTCTATATATATACTCTATATATGCTCGTTTAAATGGGCAAAGGATTTCTCCTCTTTCAGTCATGATTCTGTTATACTGACTAGGTCTGATCCCCGGGATCGGGCTCCTTACTCTCCTCATTTTCCAGTGGTACTACAAGCAGTCGTGTACCATACTGTGATAATTTAGGCTTGTAATTCTGGCGGGGATGACCTATCTATATCATCAGACTCCTCGAACGTAATACCCGAGGAGTCACTTCGTTTTTTGCAATGACGGCAATGGTGGGGATGTCCTCGGCTTCCCATGACAGTGCAGCTTTGGATTTACCTATATCAGTAACTCTCAGACCTGACACTGGTATTTCAGGCCGCCTTGCACACTGAAGCCCTCATTCACCACGGCTGGCTNNGCTTGTGCCAAAGTGTATTGGCCACGACCGTGGCCCAGCTGCGGGATCCAGATGACCCTTCCGGTGTTTCCATTGGCCCTGTTTTGAGGGCAAGATGCGGTTTCCTTGCAGGATCAGAGACCTCTTTGTCTACTTCCGTGTGCTCCCGCTTTACATTCTTGGTCTCTGGGGCCGTAGCAAACATTTTGGAATCTGACTTCGTTCCCATGGTTTTGGGTAAGGTTTTGACGTGAGGTCTCACGTGCTGTACGACACTGCTTGACTTTTGCGTCGATTTACTCAAGGGTGATGCGGCTTGTTCACCGGCCTAGTTGCGCTCAAGGCGCTACTCTTAGGCTCCTGTTTACCGGCTGTTACCTTGGCTTTAGGGAGCTCCCCAATTCCTCGTAATTTCAATTCGTCTTTTCAAACTGCACTCCCCGTTTTTATTGTTACAGTTGGAAAAGGGGCCTGAAAACCAGTGTACTATTGTGGTGTCAATTTTTGGAGCGTGTGATGAAACTCGAGGAAATCTTCTTCAAAGCCTAAAAATAAGACCACGGTGGATTCAAGTCTAGCTAAACTCGACTGGTACTTCCTTAAGGGTCAGCTCAGGGCTCTACGAAGGTGAGCCTAGACGTTAGTTGTTGCCTTCTGTAAAGAAACTCGGTGAGTCCAGCGTCCGCGTTAACTTTGGCTTGTGGTTGATGTTCCTATCCAGTGCATGCTCTTGACTCTCTTTTTTTACCATTATACATCTCTCTCATTTTTCTATCATAATGATCCCAGGCTATNNNNTCATCAGAACCTACCACTCTAACGCAACAGGTTATATCCTGATGACCACGAGAGCTGTGAGCAGAAAATGCTCTTCAGCCGAAATGACTAGCCCTAAAACTGACGATAGGGTATTTCCCTGTGAAAGAAAAGATTGCCTAGCTAGTGTAAGAGAGGGTATCTGCTGTGACTTTTG